AAAAAAAAAAAAAAAAAAAAAGAAAAGGATATTGTCGGTGAATTAGGGAGTGAACAGACAACTCATTCTTAAAACGGGGATCATCCATGTAGGTGTGTTGCCACGGTTCCGCGCGTGTTTCTGCCCGCGAGTATTTTTTCGGGCTGACTGAGTCAACATCCCGAAATACGTGTGGTTTGTTTGCGTAACTGGCCGGAGTCGAATTGATATGGTTACAAACACGGTAAAAGCAAGTATGCATCTGCCTAGCGTCAATTAAGCAACCGGCTCGAGGAGTTGCTCTCTGCGTGCTCTCGTTCGTCCAGACTTAAATAGTTCTAGTCTGCCTTTTCTCCTCCCTCTCCCGGTTTCATCGTTTACCGACCTGTTCGGATTCGAGGTTGCTCGCCGTACGAACTAAATTAATTGCAAACCCTCCTCGTGGATGTAATAGCTCGTAACTATGCCGGGTTCGGCTCGTCCGTGCGTTCTTCGGCAATGAACACAAACGTTCTAGCATAGAACTCTCTTCGTCTCGTAGTTTCTGAAGGAGAGAGGGAGAGATCACGAAAGATCTCGCGTAAAAGTGGCAATAAATATACGCGGTACAAGAGTATTCGTTCGGAGGCAAGCTTGGAAAATAGAGAGTCCACGCTCGCGATTCGTGGCGAGGCTCCACGCACACGCGACGCGTACACGCCGAAAAGGGGACTTGTTCGGCTTGCAGGCGAATATTTACACGGGTCGGTACAATCGCCTGCCCCCCTCAAGCCTCGAGATGGCATATACTGAAAAATGCAGATGCAAAAGTTTTTCTCGTAGGATTATGCTTGGCGTATTCAACAAATTGGCGATTTTTCTTGCTCGCTCCGTCACTCTCCCGCCCTTTCGCGCAAAGACCTCTCCTCGTCTCTTCTACCGTCCCACTGGGACGCGGAGGAAAGCTTTATTGATGAGATCGTTAATACGTTCGATCGGCAGATGTTTTGCCGACCGTTCGGACGTCTATCCGTCGCGATCGGCGACCACCCGATGTGCCTCGTCTCCTCAACGCACTGCAAAAAGGACTTAAACTCCCTTGCTAAGCGATCGCTGTCTCTCCTCGATTATTTAAACGTTATTTTTCTCCTTTCTTACCCGGCTGCCTTTCGTTCGGCTCACTTCCTCGTTGCCTCGTTTCGTCTCCTTTGACATCTCGCGTAAGTTTGACATCGAAAATTTAACAAAAAAAGGAAAAAAACAAAAAAGAACGAAAGAAATCCTTACTTATTTGATTGACGGTAATCGACATAACGAGCATATCGAATGCAATTAGCGATAATATATTT